TACTTTCCAAGGATATGTCTTTCTTTCTCCCTCCTTTCTCATTCAAATCTCACTTTTACAGAAAAGACGAAAACCTCCGACGGAGGCGTGTGGAGTGCGCACGAAAGGGAGGAACAATGAGGAGCCTCGAATAGGCTGTTTTCCAAGTGAGTGAAATTATTCCCGAATCATATCCCATAGAGAATCTGCACCTCTTAGAATACAGAATTTTCACGCCGTAAAATCCACGTGAAAAGTTGCAAATTCATGTGAAAATTCTTGCAAATTCTAGTTCCACAGCTTTGCCTGGATGACTACACGCTGCGTTATGCGAATGCGTTCCCGGAGGAACTCGAAAGGGCGAAAGCAAGGGCCGAGAATCGGTTGTCCTCGCAAGAACGAGGAGAGCGAGGAGGTGGATTGGAGCACGGAAGTGAAACGCGTTTCCACGGCCTTGACACGAACCGCTTGAGTAAAAGCCGGCCGAATATAGCAGCTCAAGAGAATCGTGTGGATAACGAACCGGTAACGCTTCTAGCGCTTACAACAACTGCTACGACGACCATAAATCCACTTATCAGCCGAGATGAGGAGGCCAATCAAGTCTCTCCACCGTTCGCTACTGCTTCTTCCAATTCAAGCACTAAGGAGTTTAAAGCAGACTTTCAAGATATCACTGCAGAAACCACACTCACCACCGCCATACCCGAAACTACAAGCAAAATCTCCGCCTTAGCCGGGACTTCCACGCCTACAGTACCCCTTACAGTACCCACCCTGCTGCCTACAGATCATCACGATAAAGCCCATGATGCTCCAACCTTAACGGGCTCAACGACAGATGAAGAACTAGCAGCTGTGAAAGCCTCTACCCGAGCTGAAAAAGGAGAGACCGAGTTTGTCCCTGAGGAGTTGAACGAAGAAGATAAAGAGGAGGAAGAAGTACGCGATATTCCAAAGCAAAAACGTAAAGGTCACCATTTCTTTGGAACGACAACGGTTCCTACCACGACGACCACGATTCCCACCACGGCAACACCAAAACCTTGTAAAG